GGGAAGGGGGGAGACGAAGTCTCACTCAGTCACCCAGGCTGGAGTGTAGTGGTGTGATCTCTGTTCGCTGCAACCTCTGGCTCCTGGGTTCAAGTGATTTTCCTACCGCAGCCTCCCGAGTAGCTGGGATTACAGGCACCCACCACCACGCCTGGCTAACTTTTGTATATTTTTGGTAGAGATAGAGTTTCACCGTGTTGGCCAGGCTGGTCTCAAACTCCTGACCTCAGGTGATCCGCCCACTTTGGCCTCCCAAAGTGCTGGTACTACAGGCGTGAGCCACCGCGCTCAGCCAGATTCTAGTATCCTGACAGGCTGCATGTTTTCTTTGGTTAAAGGATATCAAAAGCCACTACGCAAGAGAATGGCATTTGTTGTCACCAAAGTAAACAATTTTTATATCTGTTTTCCATATGCAGGCATATGAGTTAAAAAAAAATATGGCACATTGTAATTGTACATTTTGGGAAAACATGTAGCCTTACGACCATCATAATATGAAACGCATGTCTTATGCTACTAAATGTTTCATCACTGCTTTGAGAGTTCTGCATGCACAAAGGAGATGGAAATTAGTAGTCCTAAGAAATTTCAGTACCAGTATGAATTCTGATATGGCCCAGATTAAAAGAACCGTACCTGAATTGTCTCAGTTATGTGAAAGTTTATTTTATAACTGTTTCCAGAGCATGTGGTTCAAATATCACAACTTATCAAATATAAACCTCATTGCCAGGAAATTTTCCTTGAGGCTGACTGAGATTTTTAAAATTTTCTGATCTCACTAGGGATGGAAGTGTCTCCCTTCTTCCATAATCTCCAGGATTTTTCCTCTCTGTTCAAGAGAGGAAATTTTTTGTGGAGACAAAAGAGGAAAGTTTATCCCTGAACCCAGATAAACATGCTCAAATGAATACATTTCCAGAAAGTTCTTCATCAAAATTCAGACAAATTGAGAGTATTTTTTAGAAACTGTCATTTCCTTACACTCTGATTAACAGTCATGCCTGCTAGATAAGATGTTTACAATAAATTTTGTAAATCTCTGTATTTTGAGAAATCAGCTGTGGCATTAAGACTGGAATTAGAAGAAATAAATGAAAATAAGTAATCATTGATAATGTCTATGAAGTCCTAGCAGTGCTTAGCACACAGTATGTGCTCAGTAAATATTATTAAGTGTTAGCATCATAATGTTATTATGTGGGAATATTTTTATTTAATGAAAAATGGTACATATATATATTTATAAATGTGAACAGATATTTATAAATGTGAACAGGTATTTATATACAGAATAGGGATATATAAACAGAAAAGAGTCTGTCTTTCCTAATTCCCAGAAATAATCTTTGCTTGTGAATTAATTCATTGCTGTTTGCTATTTATTTGTTCTCCTATACAGAGAGTTTGAAAGGAGAGCATACTAGTAGAGGTTGAAATGGCTCATTTATTTGCATTAATTATTAACTTTGAAGCCTCACCAAAATTGTTCTAATCTTAGCATTGAAGCAACTTTGGTCATTGATGAAATACCTAATCAATGAATTAAAATCACAAAATATGCTTCAGAATGCCACTGTTATCATGGAATAATGGAATGTGAGAAGAGACCTCACACATCATCCAGCACAATGCCCTCATTTCACAAGTGAGGAGCCTGAGGCCAGAAAAAGTAAGGGGACATGTCAGATCAGTCATTTCAAAACTGGACTTTTTCCTCCATATCCAGACTCTGGCCAGCTGTATTACCTTTTTACCCCTCTATAAAAATCAAGTCTGGCCAGGTATGGTGGCTCATGCTTATAATCCCAGCACTTTGGGAGGCCGAGGTGGGAGGATCACTTGAGGTCAGGAGATTGAGACCAGCCTGGCCAAAATGGTGAAACCTCATCTCTACTAAAATTACAAAAATTCGGCGAGGGTGGTGGCTGACGCTTGTAATCCCAGCTACTCAGGAGGCTGAGGCACGAGAATTGCTTGAACTAGGAAGGCGGAGGTTGCAGTGAGCTGAGATTATGCCACTGCACTCCAGCTTGGGTGACAAAGTGAAACTCCATCTCGAACAAAACAAAACACCAAGTCTATCTGAATATGTGAGTCTGTGTGAATCCATTACAGTTGGATTGGCCTCTTTGGCCTTTTGGGAGTGATGGCCTTGACTGCTTCTCAAATACATAGAAGAGAGGCTGATTCTAAAATGATGGAAAAGAAGGGGCCCCAACAAGCATCTCCCCTTAACCTCACCTGTTCTGCTCTCCTGTTAAGGATATTGAAAAATATTTGGGTGTTCAGGAATATTACTTCACTTTAGAATAAAAAAGTCCATTGCTTTACTTTTGTTTTCTGAGTTGTTTTTATTTTGTTTCCCAGAGGCAAGCTCTTTCTCTTTTGCCTACGCTGGAGTGCAGTGGTGCCCTCATAGCTCACTGCAGCCTCAAATTCCTGGGCTCCGGTGATGCTCCTGCCTTAGCCCTGTGAGTAGCTGAGACTATAGGCAGTACCACTATGCCTTGATAATTTTTTTTTTTTTTTTTTTTTTTTAGAAATGGGGTTTTCCTGTGTTGTCCAGGTTGGTCTTGAACTCCTGGCCTCAAGTGATCCTCCCACCTCAGCCATCCAAAGTGCTGAGATTACAGATGTGAGCCACCATGGCTGGCCACCAAGTATATTTTTAAATGAGGTTTTTGAAATAGGTCTTGTGAATTCTCGCTCATATCTAGGCACAGCATTTTTAGTGAAATTGGTTATTGATGAGTTCAAGAAACCACTGGTCTCTGATTCTCATGTTCCAAATAGGTGGTCCACTTGTGCAGATTAGCCTGAAATTACATATGCAGAGCCTAAAATGGAGTAAGGGCTGGAGACTCCTCAAAGGCAGGGCATGGGTCCCCTTTATAGTTGTATAATCTCTAGGCCCAAGTGCAGCTTTTGGTCATTGTAGGTGCTCCATAAAGTTTGTTGGACAACTTAATGAAAGAGTAAACAAATTACATTTCTGGTTCCTCAAGTTTTTCATAGGAATAAGAGTGTCCTAATACAGAAGCAGGCATTTGTGTTTTCTTTTGCTTTTTTTTCTTTCTTCCTTTTTTTTTTTTTTTTGAGACAGGGCCTTGCTCTGCTCTGTCATCCAGGCTGGGGTATAGTGGCACAATGCTGGTCCACTATAGCCTCAACCTCCTGGGCTCAAGCGATCTTCTCACCTCAGCCTCTCATGCAGCCACCATGCTGGCAAACCTTTTTGTATTTTTTGTAGAGATGGGGTCTTACTGTGTTGCCCAGGCTGGTCTTGAACTTGAGCTCAAGTGATCCACCCACCTTGGCTTCCCAAAGTGCTGGGATTACAGGCATTTGTGTTTTCTGAAGTGTGTCTCTCAAACTTGACCGTCTAATGGCTACTTCGGCGAGTCCAAAAAACCAAACAAAAAACCAGAAAACGAAAAACCCTTTTAAACTCTTCTATCCTTTTCTAATAGTCACTGCATAGCATCTTCCCACGTGTAAAGGCGTATCCTTTGAACTGTAGTGAGGGACTTGGACATGAGTCTCCGTACCGCACTAATTCCTCAGTATTCTATGTGGTTCAGAAATGTTGACCTATTTCTCTTGCTCACTACTGAGGCCAGTCAACTACCTTTCTTAGCGCCTCACTTCTTATGGACATATCTCTGGCAAAGCCCATTTCCAAGTGTCTTGCATGAGTAGAGACCTGTGTTGTATGGTGTCCTCAACAAGAAAAAACACACATTTGCTTGCGAAATTTTAGACAATTTCCTTCTAACAAAGGCCCTTGCCTGCCTGTCTTTAGAATCTCAGCCTGCACTGGGCATGGTGGCTCACATCTGTAATCCCAGTGCTTTGAGAGGCTGAGGCAGGACGATCACTTGATGCCGGAAGTTCAAGACCAGCCTGGACAATACAGTGAGACTCTGTCTCTACAAAAATTTAAAAAAATAAATTAGCCAGCCATGGTGGCATACCAGTAGTAGTCCCAGCTACTCTGGAGGCTGAGGCAGGAGATCAAGGTTACAGTGAGCTATGATCATGCCACTGCACTTCAGCCTGGGCAACAGAGACCCTGTCTGTAAAATAAATAAATAATAACAAAATTAGAATCCCAGCCTGACTTGTGACTAAATTTGTTCACAAAGTGGTGAGAGATGCTAACATTAAGTGCTGGTGTACATGCTGCTTCAGAGATGGCCCTTCCGACAACCATGTGTTGTGAAACTATTTTATGCATGTGGCCCACCAGCAGGAAAAGGCATTCCAGTCAGTACTGTCACGAGATCATGCAAAGGCACGACATATGTATATTTTAAAGAAAGAGCAACAGTTGGGAATGAACAAAAGACACATCCAGGGCACCCTCAGAAGCCTATAATTATACTAGTAACCAAACCTTCCCATAGGAGAGCTCATTTTTAGAGAGGTGAAGCTGCATCTGAAGACATGTTTCTGAGACACGAATGCTGAGATCTCTTTACCTAGGCATTAGCAATAAAACATCTTTACGCTGATCACATCTTTCCCAGAGACATGAGAAAAGAACATGACTCACCTCATTGGTCTAAAAAGGACATTCTGCTTCCCTTCTTAAAACCTTCCGTGGTGTTGTTCCACTTTTGGTTTTGAATTATAGAAAGATGAATATTTTTGCCTGTGAGCCAAGAAGGCTGTGTGCCGTGTGTCTTTTATACAGCAGCTACACTACACACACACACACACACACACACACACACACACACACACACGTGGTTCTTTCCTGATTTTTCCTGTGGCATTTTAGAAATTTGCACTGGGATTTTTAACATTCATTTCTTCTGTCTCCAAGGCACCATCACGAGTCAGTGGAAGGAAAAACATTAACTTCACTTAAGGCTGGAGAAAGTTCGAACGACATGTCGAGAATCACCCAGTGACTCAGAATACCTGCTTGGGCAGTTTCTTCATCCGTTAGAAGGTTCCCTTTTCAAACAACAGGAGATATTTATTCATTTTGGAAGTCTCTTCCGCTGTGTTTCCAAATGGTCCACCTCTAGATTAAGGGGGGAAATCACCCAGTTTTCACTAGCTACCACAAGTCAACACAGTGAACATAAAAGCTTGTAAAAGATTATTCCCTCAAAATAAATCTATAGTTGGTTATTATAATGCTTGAGAAGTGTTTTTGGAAGTGAGCTCACGCTTTTCAAGTTGATTTCATGGCACAAGTCTGTGACCTCATGACCGCCCCACATGCACCCCAACAGTGTCCCTGCAAGATAAAGGCCCTGGAGGAGCAAGACCAACATCATCGCCTACCTGACATTTAAAAATTTTCTCAACTTTGGGTGAAAGCTGGCTTTTCAAATATCTGGGTCACCACTTTTTCAGTCTTTTCCTAGATGCTTGCATTGTAGAAAAATGTTAGCTAGAGAAGGCAATTTAACAAACACTTCCACACTCCAGCAGTTTAGGATATCACCTCTGGGGCAGCTCATGTTATTACTCAACTCATGGTAACTCTTGGTTCTAAATGAAAAGTTTCCCTTTTTAATGTTTAGCTGTGGTTGAATTTTGTATTTTCTCTGAGTCAATAAAATAATCTTAGAAGTTGGTTGGCATCTTCTCAGTTTTCCTGCTCCTGTTGGGGCACAAAAAGTCTCTCTGCCTCTATTTTACTCTTTGCATGTTAAGCAATCCTAGTTCCCTTACCTCTTCTAATCCTTTCCTCTCTCCCTCCAGCTGATGGCTCCTCTCTGTGTCTGCTGGGGAGGTCCTGACTGCATTCTCTGGGGTAGTTCAGGAATCTACCCTCACCAGTAGCCCTCACTCTCCAAAACAAAAACAAGACAACTCTTTGCTTGGTACTTTATTATGCTAAAAATAAAATAAAATAAAGAAAAAAAGAAGCACAAAATGACTCACACACATTCCCCCAGACTAACAGGAGGAGAGTGACTCACCTTCCCTCCTCAGCACGTATCGCTTATGTTTTATGGGTTAGGATATGGAATCATGTGCAGGTTTCTCTGCCACTTTCTAGAGCCAGTTAAATTCTAAGATCCTCTAAGGTTTAGTAGTCATAAACTGATAATATTAAGTGCTTAGGCATCAAATATAGTAATGAAATGAAAATATGTCTTCCATGAAGACACTGGCTACGACAATGCCCAGCGAAGAAAATCCCTGGAATCTTAACATGGTGATTTCTCCTTGCTTACCGAATGTGTGGGTTTCCGTTCACTGACGATATTCACATGAGCTACTCCTAGTGCACATGACAAAGAGAACTCAAGAAGGCAAACTTTCGCTACAAGTTGAAGGGAAAAGAAACCAGGCTGATAACAATTTCTATAGATTTATCTTTTTGACAAGTTTAAAATATATATTTAAAATACAATTTATAAAATGCTTAATCTGCTGACTCCGGAGCCTGCAGTGCAGGGTGGGGTGCGGGTGGGCAGCTCCCCCTACACCAGCAGAGCAAGACTGCAGGGGTGCGGCTCTCCCTCCCACGCCCTTCTGTTCAGACATCCAGTGGACCTCGTGCATCCCTGGAATCACACTAGTTTCTACAGATTTTAGATATGAGAAATTACAGACACTGGCTTCAGTCAGTAAAAAGCAAGAGCTTGGGCTTTTTGATCCTTTAATTAAAGTTCTTCAAACACAACCTTTAACAGCTCAATTTCTTTTTTTTCTTTTTTTTTTTTTGAGACGGAGTTTCGCTCTTGTTACCCAGGCTGGATTGCAATGGCGCGATCTCGGCTCACCGCAACCTCCGTCTCCTGGGTTCAGGCAATTCTCCTGCCTCAGCCTCCTGAGTAGCTGGGATTACAGGCATGCGCCACCATGCCCAGCTAATTTTTTGTATTTTTAGTAGAGACGGGGTTTCACCATGTTGACCAGGATGGTCTCGATCTCTTGACCTCGTGATCCACCCGCCTCAGCCTCCCAAAGTGCTGGGATTACAGGCTTCAGCCACCGCGCCCGGCCAACAGCTCAATTTCTAAAATTATTTCATAAAAGGAGGAGAGTGAACAATCCTCCATGTGTATGTTCTGCAGGACAAAGCTTATCACCAATTACTAAAGCAGGAAAGTGCAGCTTGTCAGTAAGACCTTAGTGGAGAAGTGGTGGGGGATGGGGGATGGAGAATATGAAAGTCATTAAGGATGACAGCCTAGGCACAATAAAAGATACAGCACTCCAGAGCAGCCCAGCAAAAATGAGAGGTGGCAAAGCTACTTTTTTGTCTGTGAAATTCGCGTTTGTTTCATACCCTCTACTAATGCCATCTGAGTCCCTCCGAAGCACCTCACCTTCTGTTGTCTCTATTTCAGCCTAAAGACACCCCAATTATGGTGTGCACTCCAGGTATTTAAATCTACTGAAGGTGGGGAGCAGGGAAGGAGTTTTGCTCTTGTTGCCCAGGCTGGAGTGCAATGGTGCAATCTCGGCTCACTGCAGCTTCCGCCTCCAGGGTTCAAGGGGTTATCCTGCCTCAGCCTCCTGAGTAGCTGGGATTACAGGTGCCTGTTACCACGCTCAACTAATTTTATTTATTTATATTTTATTTTTAGTAGAGAAGGGGTTTCACCATGTTGGCCAGGCTGGTCTTGAACTCCTGACCTCAGGTGATCCACCTGCCTCGGCCTCCCAAAGTGCTGGGGTCACAGGCGAGAGCCACGGCGCCCTGCCCGCAGCTATTTCAATCCGAATCTGTTTAACCGGAAACATCAATTAAAACAAAAATGGATTTCCCACAACCAATACCAATTCCTGTGGCCACTCTCATCTGATCGCTTATCTCCACACACCAAAAAAAAAAAAAAAAAAAAAAAAAAAAAAAAAGCAAGGAATAGAGCACACAAACTCTTTTCTTTTCATGTTCTCTTAGTAAACCCTGGGTTCTGGTAGGACCCTGTGTCAACATCCTGCTGTCTGAACTCTCATCCTGTTTAGGGTAGCCAGATTTTATAATTTTAAAACACCAACTGGGTCCGATGTATAGTTCAATCTATTAATGGCCATTTTTTTTTTTAGAACATCTTAAATTTTTAATCTTTTCTTTACAGATTACCTAGACCACTTTTGATTAAGAAAACTGTAGAAAGTTAGTAACTGCCACAAGGCAACGCCAGGCGGTGGCATGTATGAATCTCTAGAGTCCTGCTTTAAGGGGTGTCTAAATGCACTGCACGGGGTCTCTGCTCACACTTGCTGGAACCAATCGTGGCAGATTTTAGTCCACAGGTCGCTTTTCCCCGTATTTCCTTGTAAACTCTTCAGCATTCTTACAGAATTTTTTACGGTCCTTAGAGTATTCCTCAGCTAGGTCAGCGCGAAGCGGGTGCTCAGGCTGGGGGTCATTCACCAGTGCTATGAGGGACTGGATTACTTGGTCGGTTTTGGTTGCCGGCTTCCAGTTTTCAGCACTAATTACTGGCAGACAGACCTGCCCCTTTTCGTCGATGTTCGGGTGATAGATCTTTGTTTTAAATGTGATCTTCGGTGGTTTGAATGGGTACTCGGCTGGAAAGTTGATTTCGATTCTGAAGGCCCCCTTATCATATGGAGGGTTGTCAGGAACAATAAGCCCTTGCCAAGTAAATAAATTAGCTTCATCAACCTGGATGTTACGGAAGTTTTCCATTCTACAGTTGCGGATTTCTTCAAGCTCCTTCATCAGCCTGCTGCTGGCCGCCATCTTGGAGTTGGTGCTGCTCCTTTCCCAGAATGCATCGCGGTAACGGCCACTTTTAATAGTTGCATATGAACACACTCAAATAAAATTCTGATGTGGCAGTTTGAACTTCCGCTGAGCAAAGCAACTTAGCCATTGGTTAGAGTGATCATCCGCAATCCTACATATGTAATTTTTGTTTTTGTTTTTGAGCCGGAGTCTCGCTCTGTTGCTCAGGCTGGAGCGCACCATTTCGGCTCACTGCAACCTCTGCCTCCCAGGTTCACGCATTCTCTTGCCTTGGCCTCCCAAGTAGCTGGATTACAGGCACACCCCACCATGCCCAACTTTTTTTTTTTTTTTTTATTTTTAGTAGAGACAGGGTTTCACCATGTTGGCCAGGCTGGTCTCCAACTCCTGACCCCAAGTCATCCGCCCACGTTGGCCTCCCAAAGTGCTGGGATTACAGATATGAGCCACTGCGCCCGGCCTTACACATTATAATTCTACCTGCATATTCACCTGTTGCCTGACTGAAGACTGATATTATATTTAGATCAGATTGCTCATCTTGCATTTCACAGCACAAAGTGAGATCCTTGGTGTTTAAATATGTTTCCTGAAGAATTTCTGTTAATCCAGTTCATGTTCTCAACAGGAAGTAATTCAGACATGGGAAATGATAAAATGTATGAACTGAGAGCCCAAGATGATAATGAATAGAGGTTAAATATATAAAAATACTTATGCAAAGGGATAGAAATAATATATTTTGAGGCATTTTCACAAAAAGTTGTCACATTAGAGTACAAATGTAATTTTCAGATATAACTCACTTTGTAAACGATTTAATATACTGAAACCTGTCATTTTAATTATAAAATGGGACTTGAATTTCTGTAGAACAAGTATTATACCCAGAACGACATGAAAAGTTCAGTAAGAAGGCAGCAAAACTTATTTAAAAATCACATATTTAAAGGTAAGATGATCTTTTACAATAAATTATTAATGTGACTACTCAAAATAAGTTATGGAATATGAATACAAAGTAGAGTTATTTTTATATTTGGCATAAGAACTAAGGAGCTTAAAAAGAAAAGCAGTATTAGAACAACAAAAAATGGGATAGCAGTCACTTGGCTTCAATAAGCCTTCTCTGCAATATTCTGTAAGAAGAGAATATACAAGTTGCATTTTTTAAAGTTACCTTGTTGTGGAAGCTTCTGAATTTTGGAAATGAGTGGTTGATCTTGATCAAAGCCTGGAAGAAACACAGACATTGTGAGTCAAAATGTAACAGGATAAGCAGAGAGTTCTCTTATCTATAGATAAAATCACCACCTGAGCATAGGCTGTGTAGACCAGGGTTAGAAAAGAAGTCCAACTGGCAGGAAAATAAGGTGGGAGTCAGAGAGCAAATAAGATTGCAGCAGATGTCAGGATACAGAAAACAACTGAACAGGTAAGAATTCAAAATAGTATGTTTATATGGCCTGTATTCCCCGACTAAAAGCTCCATGTGGGCAGGAATTGTAATTTTGTCCACTGCTGTATCCCCAGCTTCTGGGCCAGTGTCTGGCTTATGAAGGTGCTCCAAACATTCCCACTCACCACCCCTCACTTTTGTGTAAGCCTCGACTGAAATCCACACTTTTTTTTTTTTTTTTGAGACGAAGTTTCCTTCTTCTCATCCAGGCTGGAGTGCAGTGGCATGATTTTGGCTCACTGCAACCTCCGCCTCCCAGGTTTAAGCTATTCTCCTGCCTCAGCCTCCAGAGTAGCTGGGATTACAGGCATGCGCCACCACACCCAGCTAATTTTTTTATTTTTAGCAGAGACTGGGTTTCACCATTTTGGCCAGGCTGGTCTTGAACTTCTGACCTCAGGTGATCTGCCCATCTGGGCCTCCCAAAGTGCTGGGATTACAGGCATGAACCATCAGGCCTGGGCCATAAATATTTGATGAGTGAATAAACATAAGCTGAAGTTTCAGAAGATAGATTTGTCACAGAAAATTAAGTCCCACAAGTAAGTGATGGACACCTAAACAGTACTATGGTAAGTGTTGGCATGTAATGCAAAAGTAACTGTTATCTAAGCGTCAGTAATAAGGGATGAGAACGAATGGCGCTGGGGGGGGAGGAGCAACTGTCTTTGGGAAGAAGGCATTAGAGGTGGTATTGAATGGTGAGTAGTGGGAAAGGCAGGGACTGGAACCCAATGCCAGGCTCTGGGCTTTGTATTCCATTCCCAAGCACCCTGAGAACAGGAACCACTTCACCTACCTTTGAATGGCAAGCACCTGTCTCACTGTGTTTCTAGTTGGTGCTCAATAAATGTCCATGAATTGATTAGTAGATAACTGGGATCCAGGCAGTGCATGCAGTGGAGCTGCAGGATCAGCATGCTGGCCGGGACCAGCCAGGGAATCAGCCAGGGCCTATTTCCTTGTTCTCTGTCTCATCTACTTGAACAACTGTGGCCAATCCAGGATGGGCACTGTCACAGTGTGGCCTGAGAACTTCTCCCCAAGGATTAAACATTAAAATGTCAACCCTCAGGCCCCGTTGGGACTTCTTGAATCAAAATCCTGAGTGAGAGGACAGAAACTGGAATGTAAATCAGGTATCCAAGAACTAGGCACTGTGGCTCATGCCTGTAATCCTAGCACTTTGGGAGGCTGGGGCAGGAGGATTGCCCACCCTGGGCAACATAGTGAGATCTGGGCTCCACAAATAAAAAAATAAAAATTAGGTGGGCAAGGTGACACATACCTGTAACCCTAGCTACTTGGACCAGGAAGATCATTGAGCTCAGGAGGTTGAGGCTGCAGTGAGCTGTGATTGACTGCACTCCAGAAACTGAAATTCTAAGAGCAAGAGAAACGACTGTTTTGGGTGGGCACTGTGGGCCAGGTACTGTTCAAGGTACTTTCACATATAGTCATTTATTTATTTTTAAATTTGCTGTAAACTCTCAGCAGACACATATAGTAATTTAATATGTAATAATCCACAGAGGTAGTTTGATTATAACTATCTGTGTTTGAGGACACGAGCTCAGGGATAGTAGATGACTTGCTTAACACTTCATGGCAAGTAACTACTGGGATCCAAATTCCTGAGCTTAATTTCAGAGACTCTCCTATATCTCCTGGCACCTTAGGGAAATTCAGAATCCAGGAAACCAGGACATTATGCTGTGCCTGTCTTCAGGAAGTGTACAGTCAGCCTCTGTTGGTTGAATCTGCCTAAATGAATCTCTGGAAATCGAGAGCTGAGGTTATAACATTTCATAATTCTAGATCCTAGAGTGTCAGAGTCAATCTATGACTTTAAAAATCCTAGTTAAGTCCAAGCACTGGGTATAGTGGTTTGTCTGAATCTGTACTAGAAAATTCCCATGTGCAGAGTGGACAAGTGCCTTAACAGAGTGAAGGCAGAGGTGGGGGAAGACAGCTGGAGAGGTGCAGACTGTCACCCCCACACCTAACACTGCTGTTGGCTCCAGCCAATAGTCCCACCCAGGGTGTCCCCGCCTTTTCAGGTTTCAGAGAAGCCCAAAGTCCAGCTTTCCATCTGGAACATCATGATTTTGAAATATCCATAACTAATTCAAAAGTTTAAACTACACCCCCCAGGCCAAACAAACAGGTCTGGAAGACAAGTTCAGGCCCATGGAGCTCCAGCATGCACCCTCTGGTTGGGAACAGAGAAATCCCAGGGCATTAAGCTACATAAAGTAACCGGGATATGGTTTAGTGAAAACGGTTTCCATCAGAACCTGTCTGTGCATCTGTTGGCATGAAGGTGTATCCCTACCACTATTTTTGGTTTAATTTAGGAAAATATGCATTGCATCATCTTTTGATTTTATACAAGTGTATCACATGTGGCCTGAAGGCCCAATTTTTGTAAATTGGAATTTCATCTTTCTATCACCCTACCTTCCCACCATAAGGATGCCTCATTCTGGTTTTTGAGTGATCTTCAATGGGCACTGGGCAATTTTAAATGTACGATTCCCCGGCCTTTCAGTTTATTTCATTCTTTTGAGACAAGGTCTGGCGGCAGTGCAGTGGCGCTATCTCAGCTCACTGCAGCCTCCACTTCCTAGGCAGCGCATCCAATGGAGCTGCAGGATCAATCAGCATGCTGGCCGGGACCAGCCAGGGAATCAGCCAGGGCCTGTTTCTTTGTTCTCTGTCTCATCATGCCATCCTCCTTCCTCAGCTTCCCTAGTAGCTGGGACTACAGGTGTGCACCACCATGCCCGGCTAATCTTGTATTTTTCTAGAGATGGAATGTCGCTATGTTGCCCAGGCTGGTCTTGAACTCCTGGACTCAAATGATCCCTTCCGCCTCGGCCTCCCAAAGTGCTAGGATTACAGGCGTTAAGTCACTACACCAGGCTGCCCCAGTTTATTTTAAAGGAAAATAGAGTAAACTCTCAGGGGGAAGAACCTCCAGTTTAATAACACTCTGTATTGTATCTGCTTTACAGTAATCGTATTGGAGATTTTCTAGATGGGACTTCTCTGTACTGAAGCCTTAAACCTGCTGTTTATCGCAGAAGTTATCCATATCTGTCTGTCTCTCACACACATGCACAAAAACTAGTTGATGTGTGATTTCCTATATATGACACGATAACATTCTAAAACAGTCGAGAACAACGAATTGAGTGTTATCATGGCTATTATTTAATGATTTTATCATGTTACTTTATGTTGAATGGCAATGGAATAATTAATTAGGTTTTGTTGTTGTTTTCAATACCTCCACAGTCTAAATAATAAACCGCTCTCCCAACACTGGCATCGCTTTAGAAGAGATTTTCTTATCTATTTCATGGCACAAAAAGGTGCCTCTCCCTCTGTGTCCTAATTTCTGCAACGTGTGTGCATTTATTGCGTGTCATCAAGCGAGGCAATGCTAACCTAGCAAAGCCGAAATCATCAGCAGAGCAAATTAATGCAATGTCACCCGCTGACCGATGTTAAACGCGGCAGAGACGCACAAGCATCCGCGTGAATGGATTAAAAAGGCACTTACAGGGATGACCCGCAAAGATCCTAGTTTCAAGACACAACAAAAAGCCTCCAGGACGTGAAGCCGGCAGGTTCTAGTCTCATTTATTTTCATGGCTATGTTTTTTTTTTTTTTTTTTTTTTTAATTTTAGTTTTCCACTGTAAAACCAAAGAGCATCAAAGGAGAAGAACAGCTTCCCCACTCTCGGAAGCCTCGCGGAGCCGAGTTCCCCTGAGCGCCCGACCCTGCCTGCGCCGCCGCCACCGCCGCAGCCACCACCGCCGCCGCGGCCGGGAAGCTGGGCTGGGCTGGGCTGGGCTGGGCTGGGCGGGCAGGGGCGGGCCGGGGCGTGGCGGGCGTCGGCAATTATTTATTTAGCGGCTGCATAAAAGCTCTGCGGCGCTCGCGAAACCCAAAGACGCCTTCTAGGTAGCAAGGCGCTCCTATCCGTCCAGCAGCTTCCGGGCTTGGGAGAAACTGAGGAACTCGCCTCGCCAGCCCGCCGCTCCCCGGGGCCGCGTGTCCACCCTTGGCGCTCGTCCTACCGGCCCCTCCCCACTTTCTACCCCAATCTCCGCCCGCCCCGCTTTCCACTCTCCCACCTCCTCCTTCCGCCCCCACCTCCACCTTCTCTCCCCTCCCACAACCCCAGTCTCCCACTTCCTCCTCCTTCCCGCCCCACCTTCCCCTACTCCCCTCGCCTCCTTCCCGCCCCACCTTCCCCTACTCCCCTCGCTCCTCTTTTCCACCTCCTCCGCCCTCCCCCACCCC